GGTCGAAACCCCGCGTGACCTTTATGTACCTGTCTATAAAGGACACTTTAAGGGGTCGAAACCCCGCGTGACCTTTATGTACAGGTTCGACTGAACATCTAGATGCAGCTGAGAATCAAACGCTGGCTGTAGACACTCACTGTACAGGCTGAGCAGCTTCTGAGCATGACGCCGGGCTTGCACACACACTGCCCACCGACCGGGTCACACAGCGTCCGCGGCACAGTTCCCGCTGGAGCACAGTCACACCTCACTACGAGCCAGAATACATGATACACGAAACGTGAATAAAACAGTGGCACAGCTGCGGCGATGGATGGCCGATGATTACGTCAGCAACGACCTAATCGCCCTTTTATATACATATTTCTGCTCGCGTTTCAATTATCACCGATGTATTTATATATTCCCCATCACAGATCTCACAGCGAAATATTACTTTTTCTAAGACGTACACGAAAATTGTATAATAATAATAATAATATTGATAATAAATAAGAATAAGAATAAGAATAATAGAGGTCAATAATTAAATGTAATAAATGTACTAAGCAAATAGAATAAAGCACGCCGTTACTTACGAGAAGCTCCGTCAAAGAAATCCGCCATGAGGGCAAACTCATGACGAGAGCAGTTCAAATCATCCCTGGCCATTAGATCAAGGCTGATGGATGCAGCCAAACACTCGCTGTAGATAGCTTCCCTATCTTGATCTGCCTCACGGAAAAGCCTCAAATCGCTCACAATCGGCATCAGCACAATCTGAGTATTGAAGAAGACCAGACACATATATGATCATGAACGTGTTGAGCAAAACAGCATAGTGCATGCGAAAATTATCAACATAACAATAAATAACACGTTGTATTACGGTACTTCTTTAGGATGAGGATATATACAGAATATTGATATTGTAATAGATCACGCACTCTCTTTCGGAATGTATAACTGGGTTTGGAAATTTTTTCGTAATCTTATTACGTTGGTGTTCTCAGATATTCAGACATCGTTTACCGTGGTTAGTTACATAATCTATATCTATAAATCGATATTATGATTGGTTATTATTGTGGTGTATTATTGGTTATAACAGGTGGTATGCATGATAAAACAAGTTAAGGTACGTTAAAGTTAGGGTTATAAGGTTCCAATACAGAAATCAGTCTTATCTCATGACAGCCCCGCATGTTAATGTCCTCGTTTACATACAGTAACAGATATCAGCCACATTTTACGAAATGCGAACTTGCGCATCGCTAACACATTGGTTACATGCAGTTGAAATCAGTCAGTTATTGCAGACAACTGGATCCATAAGGTTGCATATTCGCACGTGTACACTAAACTAATCGTTGAAACTGCAAAAGCGGAGTATTGGCGGAGGTGATGCGAGGCGACAAACCTTCGAGGCACTCGTCACAGTTTTCTCCCGCAGTAGCTCCCCTGCAGACGCACTCTCCCGTCTGCTTGTCGCACACTTCGGCCATCGTGCCGTTTACGTCGCAGCCGCAAGGCTCGCAGCCGTCCAGCGTCAAATTAAAGAACCTACGCGGAGTCCAGACAAATATTAACCACCATTTACCAGCGAATATCTGGCAAGTCTGCAATGGCAGGTTTCTGGTTGTTCTACCATGTCGTAACTGTATCATTTAAGAATTTAGGTACTACTTCAGATAGTAATCACTGGCCATGATTTATTTGCATAATCATAAACGACGATGTGTGAATGGGATCGGATTTCATAAGGGTGAGCTTCAATAAATCCATCACCTCGAGTGGTTGGCAGGCAGAACTATGCAATTCTAGGCAAAACTAGGTCATAGGACGTTCTAAAGATGATGTTAGGTAACGACGTGCCGCAAAGTCAACATTTTTGTGCGCTTGCGTGAAAACATCTACCAATTGGTTTAGCTTGTCAGTTGACTGAGCAGCAGCAACAGCAAAATGTCCGAGCAGAGTGAGGTTATCTAACTTAGAGCAGTAAATCTCTACAGGTCGCCCATAGGTAAATATAGCTACGCTGCATGCACATGATAAACATCAAGAGCTAATAATACCTATTAGTATTACCTATGGTATTATTAGCTCTCGTAAACATGCATAGCAGAAAGCTGAAGGTGCTTACCCATCCGCACAACGATCGCATGCCAATCCACCCACACCCGGTTTACAGTTGCACTGGCCAGAGTCTTCACAGACGCTGTCCAGTGAGTAATCTTCATTGCATTCACATTGGACACAACCATCACCTGAAAAACAAATATATATTTATCATTTTAACAAAAAGCTGTAGTGAAAATGCAATTAACAGTAACCATACTAATTATACAGTGAATACTGTTACTATATAGTTTACTAATTATTACTTTCATAGGTAAAGTTTAAACACAGAGCGCACTGTGGAATATTCATTGGACACCTTTCTACGTAAACGCAGGCATTAAAAAACAATCGGTTAACTTGCAAACTGTGGTATTTGTAAAAGAATTTAAGTTTATAATAGCACGTTCGCGTCTGCGTATTGCGCATGCCATACACTTGCCTGTAAACTTTCCATAGTAACCGGGTGCGCACTGGTCGCATCTTTGCTGCTGGACGTTGTCTTTACACGAACACTGTCCAGTCGTGGCATCGCACTGCATGTCGCGTGACCCCATTTCATCACACTCACATGGCAGACAGCCCTCCACTGTACCGAATCCATAATGATTAGCCTGTGGATGGAGCGGTCGCGACAAATATCATTATAATAGCCAATAATGTAGTCACCTGGCATGAAGTTAAACCTGCGTTCGTCGACACTTGTCTATAGAACGAACACCTGTCTGTAAAGGACACTAAATTGTCTTTTAACAAACACCTGTCTATAAAAGACACTAAGAGGTCTATTTAACAAAAACACCGGTAATACAAGCCAAGGGTTCTTTTAACAAACACCTGTCTATAAAGAACACTAAGAGGTCGTTTAAGCAAACACCCCGTAATAAACACAAGGGTTCTTTTAAGCAAACACCTGTCTTATAAAAGACACTAAAGAGGTCTTTTAACAAAAACACCTGTAATAAGCACAAGGGTTCTTTTAACAAACACCTGTCTATAAAGGACACTAAGAGGTCGTTTAACAAACACCTGTAATAAGCACAAGGTGTTCTTTTAACAAACACCTATCTATAAAGGACACTAAGAGGTCGTTTAACAAACACCTGTAATTAAACACAAGGGTTCTTTTAACAAACACCTATCTATAAACGACACTAAGAGGTCGTTAACAAACACCCGTAATAAACACAAGGTTCTTTAACAAACACCTATCTATAAAGGACACTAAGAGGTCGTTTAACAAACACCCGTAATAAACACAAGGGTTCTTTTAACAAACACCTGTCTATAAAGGACACTAAGAGGTCGTTTAACAAACACCCGTAATAAACACAAGGGTTCTTTTAACAAACACCTGTCTATAAAGGACACTAAGGGGTCGAACCCCGCGTGACCTTTATGTACGGTTCGACTGAACATCTAGATGCAGCTGAGAATACAAACGCTGGCTGTAGACACTCACTGTACAGTGGCTGACAACTTCTGAGGCATGACGCCGGGCTTGCACACACACTGCCCACCGACCGGTCCACACAGCGTCCCGCGGCACAAGTTCCGCCGCTGGAGCACAGTCACTACCTCACTACGAGCCAGAATACATGATACACGAAAACGTGAATAAAACAGTGGCACAGCTGCACAGCGAATGGATGGCGCGATGATTACGTCAGCCAACGACCTACCTAATCGCCCTTTTATATACATATTTCTGCTCGCGTTTCAAATTATCACCGATGTATTTATATAATTCCCCATCACAGATCTCACAGCGAAAATATTACTTTTTCTAAGACGTTATACGAAAATTGTATAATAATAATAATAATAATATTGATAAATAAATAATAATAAAGAATAAGAATAATAGAGGTCAATAATTAAATGTAATAAATGTACTAAGGCGAAATAGAAAAAGCCACGCGCGTTACTTACGAGAAGCTCCGTCAAAGAAATCCGCCATGAGGGCAAACTGCATGACGAGAAGCAGTTCAAATCATCCCTGGCCATTAGATTCAAGGCTGATGGATGCAGCCAAAACTCGCTGTAGATAGCTTCCCTATCTCGATCTGCCTCACGGGAAAAGCCTCAAATCGCTCACAAAATCGGCATCAGCACAATCTGAGTATTGAAGAAGACGCAGACACATATATGATCATGAACGTGTTGAGCCAAAACAGCATAGTGCATGCGAAAATTATCAACCATAACAATAATAACACGTTGTATTACGGTACTTCTTTAGGATGAGGATATATCAGAATATTGAATATTGTAATAGATCACGCACTAGCCTCTTTCGGAATGTATAACTGGGTTTGAAATTTTTCGTATCTTATTACGTTGGTGTTCTCAGATATTCAGACATCCTTTACCGTGGTTAGTTACATAATCTAATATCTAAAATCGATCTAATCTCTCTCGTCTCTCTCTGTTCTCTCGTCTCGCAATCATCTTCCTCTCTACTCATCTCTCGTCTCTCTCTCATCCACTCTCCTCTCTCTCGCTCTCTCGTCATCATCTCTTCTCTCTCTCGTCTCTGTCTCCTGTCTCTTCTCTCTGCTCTCTCTCTCTCTCTCTCTACTCTCGTCTCATCTCTCTCTCTCTCCTGCTCTCTCGTCTCTCCTCTCGTCTCCTCTCTGCTCTCTCTCTCTCATCTCCTCTCTCTCTCTCTCTCTTCTCTCCTCTTCTCTTCTCTCTCTCCTCCTCTCCTCTCTCTCTCTCTCCTACTCTCTCCCTCTCTC